CTATATGTTGGAGACCCAGTCAAATTACAACTGTCCATTTCTACCCTTGGCATCATGGGTGCTTAGCAGTCCACTTCCCTCACCAGAATCCCCAATGATTCTTGCACTTCTACCTATTCCCAATTTAGCAATTGTCATTCTAATCAATCTTAGGCAGTAAGGCCACCACCCAAGGAGTAAATAAAACTTTGAATTGCCTGTTGACACAGACTAATCCTGCCTAGGTCAAAAAATCAGGATGGTGATGCTAGCAGAATAGCTAGCAATGAACTGTCTATGGGTCCAAATTTGCTAACTGCTACATGTATGTTAGTATCTTGGAAAGCTAATTTACTTTATGAAAAAATCAGGGGCCTCTTCCACCCTACCCAATTCATGCCAAGACCAACAGCAAATCAATCAACATATATTTACTGAGCACCTACAAGCACCTATAGATGTGTGCTTATGTCAATGGTTCTCAGCCCTGGCTGTGCATTGACATCAGAACTCCCAGGCCAGATATGAATATTTTTAAATGGTAAATGATGCAAGACAAGTTTGATGCCTTGGCCTTTCGGCATTATGGAATATAAAAGAAATTCCTGTCTTGAAGAGCAGATCCACAATCACAACTGAGTGACTTGGATTGGATGTTAGTCCACTAATTTGTAATCCTTTTATAATATCATCTGCATTTATTAAACAGAAGAAACTGGGGTAGTCTGGATAAGAACTGTTTATATTCCCTAGTCCAGTCACACACCGACTCCACTTGCAACTCCTGATACATTTTTCCACACTCTTTTTATCTCCCAGACAGTGAAAGTACCATTCTCAGAAACTATGGAGACACTCCAAGTAGGAAGATGAACTGAGGCGCTCAAATCAGATGGCTATGTAGTATCCTAAAGGCCAGAATCTTTCCAAGCATGCTGTCATGGGGCTTCTTTTAAAGAGAAGAAATAAATCTTTAACTTCCAACAATACCAGTCACCTCATTCTCTAGCTGAAGTGTCCAAGGAAAGTAAAGAGTAGACTGAGTTTTTGTAAATTTACTCCTAGAAGTCCTTGGCCATTTAATCACCCAAATTCATAAAGCTGGTAAACTTGAGTTTTTCATATACCATACGCTTAAAATAAAAATATTCTAAATTAAGTATATTTTAGTAAACTCCTCACCAAGATGTGCAAATTATGGAGGCTTCATAAATTTAAAAAATTTCTGACCTAATTCCCATCCAGCAGCAATGACCTCATACTAAAGACCATCCCAAAGAGAACAGCAGCAGCTTTAAATTCTGCAAACATGAATCTACAGATCCTCAACCTGATGAGTCTTTCTCTGAATTACATGGTAAAAGGTACAATTCTCTTAACTACTATACAAATAGTGATGAGCAAAAGACACTATAAATTATGATTTTAAAAAGAGTAGGATGTCAGTCAAACATCTAAAACAGGGACCATATGGTATTAAAAGGTAAATTTTGGTACTTGAGGAAAAATGCACACTGACACATATTAATTAGAATAAGAGTGTTACATGAAAGAAACAAAAAAAGTGTCTTCTTTGTAATATTGCTTTTAGGACCCAGGACTTCGAAATTAGCTTGGTGTACAATACTTTTCTTTGCAATTGTTCTTGTCATCATATAAGTTTTATCCACAGAGGTCCACAATCCCTCAACTTCAATTCCAAAATCCAAAAGGCTGCAAAAAACAAGTTTTTCATTATTCATTTGGCAGCAAAACCTGATGTAAAATGACATGAGGCTATTTATAGTATTTATTTATCCCAGTTGGTGTGAACATTCTGACATTTTACTACAGAAATAGTAATGTGTTTGATTACAAGGTGCTGCCCTACACCTCCCTGGGGTGTTACATAACCACAGTACATGCACCATATTCCATTTCTTTTTCTTCCTTTTTTTTTAAAAAAAAAAATTATATTAGCTTCAGGTATATACCACAGTGGTTAGACATTTATATAATTTACGAAGTGATCCCCCGAATTACTCCAGTACCCACCTGGCACTATAGATAGCCATTACAATATTATTGACTATATTCCCTATGCTGTACTTCATATCCCCATGACTATCTTGTAACTAATTTGTACTTTTTAATCCCTTCACCTTTTTCACCCAGCTCCAAAACACCCCTCCCATCTAGCAATCACTAGTTTGTTTTCTGTATCTATGACTCTGTTTTCATTGTTTGTTCATTTATTTTGTTCCTTAGATTCCATATATAAGTGAAATCATATAATATTTGTCTTTCTGTCTGACTTATTTCACTTAGCATAATATCCTGTAGGTCCATCCAACTCATTGCAAATGGTAAGATTTCATTTTTTATGGCCGAGTAATATTCCATTGTATATATCTACCAAACTTCTTTATCCAATCGTCTATTGATAGACACTTAGGTTGCTACTATATCTTGGCTATAGTAAATAGCGCTGCAGTGAACATAGGGGTGCATATACCTTTTTGAATCAGTGTTTTGATTTTCTTTGGATAAATACTCAGAAGTGGAAATTGCTGGGTCATAAGGTAGTTCTATTTTTAATTTTTTGAGGAACCTCCAAACTGTTTTCCATAGTGGCTATATTACTTTGCAATCCCACCAAGGGTTCCCTTTTTTCCACATCCTCACCAACACTTGTTTTTTGATTTATGGATGATAGCCATTCTGCCAGGTATGAGGTGATATCTCGTTATGGTTTTAATTTGCATTTCTCTGATGATTAGTGACGTTGAGCATCTTTTCATGTCTACTGGCTATATGTCCTCTTTGGAGAAATACCTATTCAGATCTTCTGCCCATTATTCCATTTCTAAAATCTAAGAAATTCTAAATTTAGAAACACCTCTGGCCTCAAGAATTTTTTTTTTTTTTTTTTTCTGGCCACAAGGGACTAAATCTTACATACAGAAAATATAACCAATACTGAGAATGAGGGTAGACCTTCATATGCAATAAATTCAATGTCTTAACAACTATTCACAATATACATCCTATAAAATAAAGCATTAAAAAATAAAAAAAGACAACAAATGTCAAAAACCTAACACACCATTATGTGTTTTTCAAGTAATGGTGACATTTGCATCATCTGATATCTAAATCAATTCATCTTAAGTTGAAGTTCACTAATTTAAATCAGTTAAAATAGACCTAAAGACTGCAATTGGTATTTATGTTGAGAAAAAAGAATCATCCATTGATAATGTACCCAGTAAAATGTTCTGATTTTTAAAAACTTTATCTCAGAAGGTTTAAAATTTTTAATTATTTCATTCTAGAATACAAATTCTGAACACTGAACAAATTACAATTGACTATTTCTGTGAAAGCAGAGCTTGGGACAAGGACAGCAACAGAAATAGCTCTTAAAGTTATTTGAACGGGAAGAAGAGTTTCACAGTTCTTTCCTTCCTTCCTCCTTCAGTTGCTGCTTTCTGGTTTTAGAATTTCAAACAAAGAAATACATATTGGCTCCTCTACTAAGAAACGCCCTCTTTCTCAGCTACTTCCTCCTCCAATTTTCTTCCCTACCATTGACATATGAGAACAATACACACTGCGGGTTCTACCATTTTAATTAACCAAAAACTCTGAGGCTTGGAAATTAAGGGCTGCAATTTAAAGTACCCAAATATCTCCCATTCCAGATCCACAATCATCACTCATCTGGAAGTCAGATATCAGGGAGAAGAAAGAAAGAAACATTACGCTTAATCAGAGGTAGGCTATTGAACCTTTCACGCCAGGAATCCAAAAATAATTTGAACTAACAAATGAGAAATTTCTCCCATCCCAAGAAAACCTGGCCTTCATAGGGAAGAGAAAAGAGTTACTGGGCTGGCACCACTCTAAACTAAGAGTCAAGTCTATACACCAATAGTTGGTGGACTTTCTTCTATGGGCCATCCAGGATTCAAACTGAATGAACTCTTTGAGGTTCTGATACATTTCAAAGTGACTTTTACAATTTAGTAATGGTCTTTTCTAACTCACAGGAAGAACAAGGAGGGTGTTCTTATAATTAACCATCCAGAGATCAAGACTCCACCTGTCTCCATGCCAGAAGTCAAATCAAATGTCTGAGACCAGACCGCTCCAATTTGTGACAAAGCAAACTTCTTGTAAGTGGACAGTGACTTCCCCCTTGCCCAGTGAGTCTCAAAGGAAACAATTTATCCTTGGTAAGCTCTGTACCTTACTTACTGTGTGACCTTGGGAAAGTTACTTAACTCCTCTGAAACTTAGTTCCTCATGTGTAAATCTTAAGGGTTAACTGTAAAAATTAAATCGGAAAATATGCCTAAACGAGGTCTGGCACATAGCAGGAACGCCATAAATTGTTTGGGTCCACCCAAAGCATTCGTGGAAGGGCCCCTTTCGCCAGCTTTCCTTACTCTGCAGTTACCATCCTGTACACATACGTACCTTTCTCTTCCTTATTCTGCAGTACCGTCCTGTACACGTAGGAATGCACACGTACATACAGTCCCACCACCACTCTGCTACTTAGCGGACCAGGGGTCTCAAAGAGCACATCAAGTCCTTAATGGCCCAAAGATGGAAACCGAGGCTCCGCCTGGGGAAGAACTTGCCCAAGATCTCAAACAACAATCTAGGCTCCAACTCATGTACATCTGCCTGCAAAGCCTTCGCTTTACAAATGGAGAAACTGAGGCCCAGACAGGGAAGTGACTTGCCCAAGGTCACACAGCGATCTGGTTGCAGAGACGGATCAGGTTAGGGCAATTTCGAAACCTCACAGACTCGCGGGCCTCTTCAGTCCCCAAGGGGATCTCCAGGACACATTCCCCCTGGGGAGTGGAGAGTAAGACGCCACCCTGCGCTGACCGCTCGTCTGGCCTCTGCTGGTACCGCGAAGGAGGTGCGGCAACCACTCCCGCAGGACCCTGCGCGGCTCGGGAGGGGCAACCTGGCCGGGCCCGACGCCTCACGGCGCGGCCCGCTCGCAGGGACTTGTTGCTCACCTGGTCTCACGCGGTCGCCCGCAGCGACGGACGGGCCGGCCAGCCGTCTCCACCCAGGGTCTGTTCCCGCGGGCCGCCTCGCGGGCTGCCACACTGCCGGACCCCCCTCAGCGCGCTACGCCCCCAGCCGCGCTCGCCCTGCCTGCGTCCGCCATTACGCGATTCCCCGCCCTGGGACGCAGCCACACCCCACCAGTGGCTCTGATTGGCTCTCTGCCCCACCCGCCTGGGGCTTTCGGGCATTCCATTGGCCTGAGTGAAATGCCAGTTAAATAGCTACGCAAAAGACGTACTCAAGGGTACTGTCCCGGGAGCTCCACCCGAGTGACTTCCGCAATCGGAGTAAACAGCAAGGGGGAAAACCAAGTGAAAAGGGGGTGGAGGTTAAACTAAATCAACTTCTAAATTCAAGGTAGGAAAATTACACCTAAGAAAGTGTAAAAACTCGTGCAAAGTGTATTTAAAGAAGAAGAATTATTGTTAAAGTGCAAATAACTAGTATTTTTGTTGGAAGGGCGAGGGCCAAGCCCATGAACTTGCTGTGGACACCCCTTAAGTTGCGGGTAGTTTTGTCCCTTCCCTCCCGGTCTCTGGCCCGGCCGAAAGTAGGGTGGAGAGAGTGAGTCACAAGCTGTGGCCCGCCGCAGAAGGTTCCAGTCCCGGGCGGAGCCTGGGGTCCTGGGACTGGGAGATGGTTCTGACAGTCCAGAGTCAGGTGAACTGGACCCTAGTTCAGCCTCCACCTCACTCTGCGAGTGCAGATAACTCCCTGAATTTATCTGGGGCTTAGTTTGTCCTTCTGCGAAATAGGAGCGGTCTTGTCTACCTCACGTCCTGGAGTGTTTGATTAAAATTCATACATGAGTGAGTATTTGTGTCTTGTTGATTATGAAAGGCTGCAGCTGGATATCAATGTGACAAATTCGCAAGTTAGCAAAGATACCTCATTTAGGTCTCTAGAGCAACTCTAAGGCAGATATTGCCCCCGTTTTACAGAAGAGAAAACTGAAAACTCCATGATTTACCCTGGGTCACCCTGAGCATCTGAAACAACCTTGAGACTCAAACTTGTATCTTTTGGCTTCCATTTCTGTATGTCTCCCTTCCAGGCCTGGTGTACCCTGAGAAATGCTTACCTCCCGCAACCCCTTAGCATTCCAGAGAGCATCTTGAGGGTATCGGGCCAGTTTCCCATCTCTCTGGTCACCATAGACAGGCACAGGCCACACTCCAGTTATTGTTAATCTCTAAGGTTTCAGGGGAAAACTAACCATAGAGATGTACCTGAGCTCTTTATGGTGTCCTAGGAATCATAAAGTGAGTAAGATGACAGGTGGGTCAGCAATCCAGACAGAATCCCAAATGAGGACACAGAAGCTCCTAGAGAGGCAGTGATGCCATTGTGGGCCCTCAGCAGGGCAGCCTCCATGCAAGGACTTCAATCCAGGTCTCTCTGCCTTCAGAGCAGGGCTCTTTTCACTGCAGGATTGCTATTTGCAGAAGGGCTGCCTTGGCTGTAAATTTTAGTCCTTTTCCCTCTCTGGAAAGAAAGGAAGCCAAGAGAGAAATGGGAGGGGGAGCAGCCTAAGACTTTAGAAGGGCAAAGACCACTAAGTGGGTGGTGCCCATGGCCCCAGTGCTGGCTGAGTCCGTGACCTCCAGGCTCAAATTGGGACGTGCGGTCTGATGACCAATTGTTATTTAAATCCCGACTGTGGCCATTGGGTGCTGGGAAGCAACAGGTGCTATGCAGAGGTCAGTGGCTTTGGGGTCAGACTGACCTGAGATTAAATTCAAGCTCCACCACTTTCTAGCACTCTGAGCCTCACCTACGTCTTCTCTAAAATGGGGACAACAGTGCAGTTGTGAGAATTCAGTGACTAAATTGTGGAATTAATGAGTCATGTGTGAAAATATCCAGTAACTATTTATTCATTCATGGATTCATCTATTTAATAAAAAAATTATAAGCTCCAACCACGTGTAGGGCAGCCTGCCAATGGTGCAGCTACAACGGTGACTAAAACAGACTCAGACCCTCATGGAGCTTAGAGTTTGATAAGGAAGTAAGTCATTAAACAAATGATCAGATGAATCAAAATACAGTTAGAAACTGTGATAAGGAACAAGAAGGCAAAGTACAATGCGTTTATGAGAGTGTATGTCAGGGGGTGGAGGTGGGGTCACAAGAGGCTTCCTGAAGAGGGATGTCTCCAGTGAGTTTATGAGTGGGGATTAAGGAGGCATCAGGTAGTTGGGAGAAGTGTTGCAGACCAAGGGAAAGGGTGTGGAAGGCATCTAGGCCAATGGGAGATAGTGGCAGTGGGGAGGGAGGACATCTCACTGGGGCCTAAACAAATGAGGTGTTACAGGGGAAGGAAACTTGCTTTGAAAGTGGGGCTATTCTCCAAGGGTCTCTTTACTTTTCTGATAGTCCCTGAAAGAGTGCACACCTTGAGGCCAACCCACCAGGATTTGAATCTTGGCTCTGCCCTTGTACTTCAGACTATGTGACCTTGAATAGTCATCACACCTCTCTGTGCCTCACCTAGTCTTCTGAGAAATGGGCATAATGATAGCGGGTCATAAGGTGGAGATGAGGATTCAATGTAAAAATGTGTATAAAGGATTCTGGCACATAGAAGGCACTCCATAAATGGTACTTGGTCTTCCCAGAATAGAGGGAGGTGAACCTGAGGCAGCAGATTCGGCAGATACATTTGGGAGAGAGCTGATGCAAACATCTATGCACTAGGCAAATTGTCATCTGACTTTAATTGTCATAGAAGACTTTGGAACTAGGGAAGCCTGGGTTAAAACACAGTTATACCACTTCCTAGCTGTGTGACCTTGGGCAAGTATCTTCACCTGACTGAGCCTCAGTTTCCCTGTCCATAACATGGGGATCGTAATTGTTTCTATTTCTCAGAGCTGTGAAGATTAATGAGACAATAAACGTGAAGCACTTAGCACAGTGATTGGTACAGAGTAAGCAGTTGTTGAATGTTAATTTTAATAATTATTATTATTGATACCAGTAGTTACTACCTGTGCCAGGTAAAATTCTGGGGCTTTGCTTGAAGGTTGTCAGGCAATAGGAGTCTTAGTTTCTCTTTTTAGGCAGTGGAGATAGACAAATTGCTTTCAGAGGGGATGGTGCTGTACAAATAAGCACTAACATTGACTCTTGATTATGTGCCAGCCATGTGCTAAGTGCTGTATATGCATTAACTCATAAATCCACATCGCAGTCCTACAAGTTAGATCCTATTATTATCATTTTACAAATGAGATAAAGGAAACAGAGAGGTTATGTGACTTGCTCAAAGCCACCCAGTCAGGAAGCAGCACAGCTGGAATTTAAACTCAGTCAGGAACTTGAAAGGGTTTGCTGCTCCTGAGGGCAAGCCCTCCCTCTTCTACCCAAGGAGTAAGAGTTATCACCTGGGGGAATGAAATTATTCACTGCCTGTAGCAAGTCTCCAGGTTCCGGTTCCTAAGGCCAAGCCTCATTCCTTTCCCACCAACTTTTGCCTGTTCCTGAGACTAAGAGCAAGAAACACACCCTCTTCCTCTGCCAGGGGGAGCAAAAAGACATATACAGTCACCAAAACTGAGTCTGAGTCCCAACTGTGCCACTTAATGGCTCTGTAATCTTGATCAGGTCACATCCCCTCTCTGAGCCTCAATTTTGTTATCTATGAAATAGGGATGATAACTCTCTGCCTACAGCACTGTTGTGAGGAGCAGAAGAAATAAGTCCCGCATGTACCATCAGCACAAGTATTCCTCTCTCTGTTGCTGTGGGGATGGCAAGCACTCTGGGAAAGCAGCCTAAACCAGTATAAAAGGCAAAATGGCCATTTCTGGAAACAGTCCTGGGTTTGAGTCCCAAATCTGCCTTTTATACCCTGTGTGACCTTGGGCAAGTTATCTAACGTGGCTGAGCCTCAGTTTTCTTATCTATAAAATGGAGCGATAATACTGATCTTATAGAACTGGAAAGAAAACACTAGAATGCATAAAAAGCCATGAGCCAATGTCTGATACAGAGCTGGCAGAGTGCAGCCTGATGAGAGGTTCTAGGAGGAGAGGCAAAGGAGAAGAATCAAGAAGAATCACCCTGACTCCTCCATGCCACCCCTATCTGAGGGGAAGAGAGTGGAGAGCACTATGCTCTGAGCCTAGAATGATCTCCAGCCACTCCCCTACCTCTGGCATTCTCAGTTCTGTCTCTGTCTCTGTCTCTGTCTGTATCTGTCTGTCTGTCTGTCTCTGTCTCTCTCTCTCTCTGTCTCTGTCTCTCTGTCTCTCTGTCTGTCTCTGTCTCTGTCTCTCTCTCTCTCTCTCTCTCTCTCTCTCTCTCTCTCTCTCTCTCTCGTCAAACAAGTTCTTCTCCACTGAGCAATCCCAGGGGGCCCCAACCTCGGTTCCAGCCAAGCTTGCAGGCTTTCCCCGCCTCCACATCCTTAATCCACAGTCTTTGCATTTGCCATTCCTTCCACCTGGAATGCTCTCTCCTCCTGGAGTGCCTTTGATGGGGAAGAGGGGGTTGCTAAAGGGAAAGGATCTGGAATGATGCTCCCCCACCTCCTCGCTCCCCTCCCCTGCATCCCCCACGCTGCATGCCTGACCTCCCCCCTCCCAGCATGGGGATGAGGCAGTGCTGGGAGCGGGAGGAAAAGGGGGAGGATTCAGTGAAGGGCCCTCTGTGGGGTTTTTCACCTGCTCAGAAGAGGCAGACGGAAATGAAAGCTCTAGAAAAAACGCCTGCTGCTCTGCTCCCAAGGCCCCAGCTCAGTGAAGCCTTCCCACTGTACCATCTTCTCATCTCCCACTCTTCCTGCAGGCAGGTGCCACAGTCAAGGAACGTGGGTGGGCAGCAGGCCAGAGAGACCAAGGTTCAAATCCCATTCCTGCCACTTACCCAGTGAGTGGCCTTAGCAAGCTCTTTGGCCTGCTTATACCTCATTTCTTTGTAAAAGGACACAACAATCCCTGCCTCTCAGGCTGCTGTGCGGACTAAGTGAGATGCCGGATGAAAGTGCCTGGCACTACCAAAGTGCTCAGCAATGGAGATGACAGCAATGATAACAAAGACACACAGGGCCCAGGTGTGCCTGCCACAGCTCTCAGCACCTTACATAGATTAGCCTATTTAATTTCTGATAAGGTAGATACCA